GCCAGGTCCAGGACTGGAACTATTGTTGGATATGGTAATCCAGCACCTTAACTACCACACCACCTGCTGGCTCCCAGTATGCATGCTTTAAAAAAATAATAGAATAAATTTAATTTTTCCCTCACATTCTTATGTCATTTTTGTCATTCATTTTACCTATATAAAAGTATATATATTTGAATACCTTGTTGTTATTGTTTTTTGAGAGAGATTTTTACTAGAGGGCATGTGTGCTTGCCAGAGAGATAGAGAGAAAGCGAAAAGTCACCCCTCAGGGGGCATGGCCATGCTGTAACCCCTTCTCTTCCATTCTCCTCTCAGGATTTTGGGCATGCAAGCACACACATCTGGCATGAGTTTTAAGCCCCCAGGTCCAGGACTTGAATTGCAGCCAACTACGTGGGAGTCCAGCGATGTAACCATTCCACCTGGTTCCCCTTATTATTTTCAACTGTTCTTCATTAAGTCAAAATAATAAAAATTAAAGTTTTATTTTACTTTGACTTATTTCTTCACTGATGCTCTTCATTTATGTAGATTTATGTTTCTGACCTTTATTACTTTCCTTCTTTAAAAAATTTCTCTTAACATTTCTTCAAGGAAAATCTGGTTCATTTTCAGTCTTGTGGCTGGCTCACTGACTGGCTGGGCCATAAAACTAAAAAGGAAGCAAACAATTCCATAAAGGCATTTCTTCCTAATTCTGGATTTAGTTTGTTCTTGTTTTCTCAGTTTCATCAGGTGTAACATTAGGATGTTTATGTGATAACTTTTTACTCTTGATGTAGGCAGATCTACCAGCAACCAAATTCCTAGACTTATTTTTCTGAGAAAGTTTTTATTTTTCCTTTACTTTTAAAAGATAATTTTCAAGGCATAGAATTCTACACTGGTGATGTTTTTTTCTGGTCTCCACACTTTAAATATTTTACTTCACTTTATTCTCGCATGTATGTTTTCTGATAAGTTGGATATAATTCTTATCTTTTCTCCTCTGTAGGTAAGGTATTTTATTCCTGTCTTCCTTCAGAATTCTTTTCCATATATATATATACATATATATATATATGTAATTTAAAAATGACATTTATTCTTCTTTCCCCCCTCCCCCTTTGGCATTCTATTCATCTTTCTCTGAGCTTTCTGGATTTGTGACTTAATATCTGACTCTAATTTGCTTCAGGTACTTCTCTTTTTTTCTCTCATTTTTATCTTTTTAGAGTTCCCGTTACACATACAAGGTGATCTGATAACTCCAAAATCTCTGCCATCTCTGACTTGAATTCTAATCCTTGCTCTATCTCTTTAGACTAATTTTTTTCTTGTGTTTTAACATGTGTTGTAATTTTCTGTTAGAAGCTAGATATTATACATTGGGCTAGAAGTGCTGAAATATGAAGCCTTTAGTATGAAGGTTTATGTTTAAATGACAAGGAGTTACACTTCATTTACTCTTTCCTGAAGTTACTGATGTCTGAAACTTTTCTTTCTTTAGTTTTCTTTTGTCTCCTCTTTCATCTTTGGATTTTCCTCAAAACTCCTTCATAAAAAGTCTGCAATTTGCAATTTTTCCAATGAAATGCTCAGATAAAATTCTTATTCGTTCGAAGTTATTTATTTAATTTTATTTATTTATTGTTTTTTAATTTGCTACAGGCCATGTGCACTCACCAGAGGGAGACACACAGGGAGAGAGGCAAAGTGAGAAAGCAAACCACCAGGTCCGGAACCCAAATCACACTCAGTCATGTGGGAATCCAGAGCTTTAGCCACCACGATACCTGCTGACCCTGGATGTAATTCTTTGCTATATATACAACTATCACCCTGCTGATGTGATGGTAAGATGTGGGTTGAAAAGAGAAGCATTATATATTCTTCTGGTCAGGTTACAGTCTTTTAGTGAGGCTGTGCTCTAAGCTGTGACTTTCAAGCATGTTTTAGCTCTTTCTCCCCTTA